GAAAAACCCAACCCAATGCATGGCTTACTCTGCCAGCTACCTAAACAGGCTACATACTGTCCAGGGCATCTGGTGGCAGCAACCTTAAAATTATGAGTAGATTTAAGTTATCCCCTTAGGATTAGTGACCCCAGAATGGGCAGTATAAATTAGTTAGTTTCCCGGTGAGACGTGTGTGTGTGGGAGCTCGTGTTTTACGTCAAAAAACAGGGTCTTTCCAGGAGTACCCAGTCTGATTTCTAGGAAATCTGATTCATGAGTGACTAGTGTGTGTCGTGACCAGTACAATATCTATCTGTGATCCCCCCCCCCCCAAGTAGATATATTTGTCAATTTACTGGTGAATCTGTGACTACCACGTGAGGTGTAGGCCAACCATGCTCCCTCGGTGCCACAGCTTGTAATCTGAGCCCTGTCCACCTCCACCATCCCACCCCAGCTGACCACACAACTTGATCGTCTCCCTACTGCCAGCTACTCAGCCCTCACTAGCTCTGATATGTCCAAGTTGTCTGCTAGTATCAAACATTCAAATTTCACGAAACAGCTGACTGATGTGATAATGTAAGTCCAATGGACTCTCATACAGGCCATCATACAACAAATGAATAAGGAGACCATCAGGAAGCTAGAAGAAGCTGACCGGCATCTCACTGACCAGCTAAGTGAGATTAAAATAAGCTTGGAATTCTCATAAGGGGAAATAAGTGACTTCCAAGCAAAGCTGAACGTTGAAGCTAATGAACCGAACACTCAGGACCCAAGTTCAACAGCTGAGTGAGGAGAATTCCAAGCTCAAAACGGAACTAAACGACAAGAGCAGACCGGGTGGATTACGTGGATGACATAGGACGGCGAAGCAACCTCAGGTTTGCCGGAGTCGCCAAAGATGCCCACGAGAACTGGGAGTCATTCCAGTGCAAAATTTCACGCCTGCTGAATGACCATTTTAAACTTCCTGAAGTAAAGTTTGACCGCCCCCGCGACATCATAACAAAATTCTCACCCCCTCTGACTGTGACAAAGTGTTTTATCAACGCAGTAAGCTGAAAGACACCACTATCTTCGTCAACGAGGACCTCTGCCCAGGTACGACTAAAGCCTGTCTACAGCAAATGGACCAGTGTAAAGAAGCCAGGAAACGAGGGAAACACGTGACATTCAGTCATAAAACCCTTGTTGTGAGGGATAGGGCAAGTGAACTCCCACCCACTCGCTGTACCAACCCCCCCCAAGCCCCTCGAGAACCCCCTCCCCACTGCGGGGGAACCAGCCACTGTCGCTATCACTTGAGGAGTTTCCCTCTCTGCCGGCCAACTCAAGTACTACACGTCTATCCTCTGTGGTAGAAACCAGCAACCCTTAAAACCAAGTGACAGGAGCATCTCCCACTCAATCTGTACCGGTCATCTTAATTCTGTTGGTTGTAGCACTTGTGAATACGTTATCCCCCAATATTATAACTTTCTTAGATCTTCCTTTTTCACACCTCAGTGACCCTGAGTTTTTACTGTTCCTTAATCAGTATCAATGTTCCAACAATGATACTGTCAACCATATCATCCTCCTTTCAAAACTTGAACATTACAGTGTTCCGGGCCTGTCCTACAATTGGTTTATCTCATATCTGTCCAACAGGATGCAGTATGTCTGCTATAATAATCACCAATCTGACTCCTCGCCAATCTTGTGTGGCATCCCCCAAGGTTCCATTCTCGGTCCAGGACTGTTTTTGTTGTACATAAACGACATAGTCCACGTCAGCACACTCATAAAATACAACTTATTTGCAGACGATAGTAATTTCTATGCCAGCAACTCAGACCTCCATTCCTTGATGAGAACTATGAACACTGAATTGATTAAAGTCAGGACCAGGGTAATACGTAATAAACTGACCTTAAACCTTGATAAAACCCACTATACGATCTTTCACAGAAGGAAAAACTTACCCCAGACTTGGACCCCCTGTACCTTGGTAATACAGTCCTCAAACGCAAACAAAATACCGTACTAAATTCCCCGGAATTATTGTTGATGAGAAACTTAACTGGAGAAACAACATACAAGCCAGTCATAGTAAAGTCAATAAACAGTGCGGTATCATGTATCACGCTCAACAGTCACTTACTCTTACAGCAATGAAAGAAATCTATCATGATATTGTTTGCCAAGACCTGATACACTGTTACACACTATGGGGGGCCTCTGGCTCTTCAAAAACACAATCCCTGGTTACTGCACAAAAGAGAGTTGTACGGACAATGACCTACTTGAAAAAACAGATCACACAAACAAAAAAATTGCTAAATTGAAAATGTTAAAATTCGAAGATTTTATCACCTACCCGGTACTGCTGTGCCCTCTTTGTTTACAAATCTATCAATCAGTTGCTTGACAATAATTATTTCCAGTTCCGGAATAATCAGAGATACAACTTAAGGCACCCAGAGATACTAAGACCACCCCCATGCGCTCCTCTCAGTCCCAGACCTCCATAAAATATCATGGTGTGAAGGTGTGGAACAACTTACCCCCACCCATCCGAGCAAAGACTACGCTTCCTTCCTTTAATTCATCTCTTAAAAAATATATATTGTCTAAGTATTAATATTTCTTGTAATACCTAGTGTACTATATATACAGTACCTGCTTTTATTGTACCATCAAAACTGTTTTATAAGAATTTATCATGTAAATAGATAAAAAATTACCAATGCAATAAATATATTTGCCAACTAGACATAATCCTGACAGCTCTGTCCTCTTGTTCAACCTTAATACTGTACAACCCATGTTGTACTGCTTCCCCATTATATTTATTTTTTTCATTTCCACTGTAATTTATGTATACAGGTACAGTATACAGTACTTCTAATAAAAAAAAAAATAATAATAATAATAAAAAAATAAAATAAATAAATATTTAAGTGATAACTGTGGTAACATTCTGAGATGTTCTTATTACCACCATGCTATTGTACTACTGTATTCCAAATGTTACTAAATGTTACATAATACTTCCTTGAGATAAATGTATAGTATATATCAGGTGCCTACAGGAGAGCTCAGGTTCTCAACTGGCTCAGCCATGTTGATATTGTTATTATTATCCACTCTGTGTCTGTGTTTTTCTGGCTAAATAAACTGTTTCAATTCAATTCTAACATAATCCCCAAGTACAAGAGGACAGTACTGTATCAACAAAAACCTCAAGTACAAGAGGACAGTACTGTATCAACAAACATCTTAAATACAGGAGAGCCTTGTATCAACAAACACCTTAGGTACAGGACGACAGCACTGTATCAACAAACACCAATGTACAGGAAGACAGCACTGTATCAACAAACACCTTAAGTACAGGACAGAACTGTATCAACAAACACCTAAGTACAGGAGGACAGTACTGTATCAACAAACACCAATGTACAGGAAGACAGCACTGTATCAACAAACACCTTAAGTACAGGACAGAACTGTATCAACAAACACCTAAGTACAGGAGGACAGCACTGTATCAACAAACACCAATGTACAGGAAGACAGCACTGTATCAACAAACACCTTAAGTACAGGACAGAACTGTATCAACAAACACCAATGTACAGGAAGACAGCACTGTATCAACAAACACCTTAAGTACAGGACAGAACTGTATCAACAAACACCAATGTACAGGAAGACAGCACTGTATCAACAAACACCTTAAGTACAGGACAGAACTGTATCAACAAACACCAATGTACAGGAAGACAGCACTGTATCAACAAACACCTTAAGTACAGGACAGAACTGTATCAACAAACACCTAAGTACAGGAGGACAGTACTGTATCAACAAACACCTAAGTACAGGAGGACAGTACTGTATCAACAAACACCTAAGTACAGGAGGACAGTACTGTATCAACAAACACCTAAGTACAGGAGGACAGTACTGTATCGACAAACATCTTAAGTACAGGGGGATAGCACTGTATCAACGAACACCTTATGTACAGGAGGACAGCACTGTATCAACAAACACCTTAAGTACAGGACAGAACTGTATCAACAAACACCAATGTACAGGAAGACAGCACTGTATCAACAAACACCTTATCTTCAACTGTACTCTCACAACTTTTAGTTACCTCTCATTCAACATTAATTTTAAATATCCATACTATCTCAACATACAGTACATTCATCTAAGTAATTTTCTATTAAATTTTTCACTTTATACAACCTAAATACTGTAGCTAAGTCCTCATTCCTTACCTTATCTTCTTAATTCTCATAAAAATTTAATAATACAGGGGATCCTCCTCCATGTTGCCCTGTTTCTGGGTCTTGCTATTTTGAGGTTGATGAACTGGAGATGGCATCTATTTAGCTTCACTACGTTTTACTTTTACAATGTTGGCTGCCATTTGGTAGTGCCTATCAACTTTATGTTAAGGAATGTGTGACCAAATGGAGAACCCAAGCAATGCTCCCACCAAAACACAAGCTTTTGTACTTTCATGCATAAAGACGAATTTATACCTCAACATCATGCCTTCAAAATGTGTATTGAGTCAATGCAATACCTAGCACCACAAAAACAAGAAAAACAATCAGTTTGACTACAAAATTAGAAATCTTGAGGTACGTAGTCTGATTCTAATGAAAAATTTTTCCCTATGTCCACTTTTTGATGTATAGTTTAAAGCAGCACTTTCCAAGAGAACTGTACATCAACAATTATAGGTGGAGATCTTCTGTACCACACTGACTTCCTTAGTATAGTATACGGCCATTTCCCAAAATGAAGTAACCACAACCTTCTGTAATTATGTGAGAAATCTTATCTTTGTAATGTTATTCTCCACCAAAATCTACTACTACTGTATAATGATTAAGATAAATAACTCTTATCTTCTGAAATAACTACATGTAAATTATTCATAGATAGGACCTAACTGTAACACATAGAAATAAAGCACAACAAAAAATAATAATCAGGAGGCAACATACATGGGCTTAATATCTTCAAGTTGATAATTATCTGATATGTAGTTAAAGAAGACATGTCGCATTGGTCCTAAACGATCGTGGCCAGCTGTGAGCGTGATGAACATCTGTAAAGTGGTGTGGCGGATCTCTGCTTGACAAGCCTGGGACAGCAAGTCCTGAACTAAGAACCACAGCTTCTCTATCCCATTCTGTGTGGTGAAGAATAAAGCAATTTTAAAATGCGTACATACTTTTTTATTCTTCATAGCAACTACAGATACTGGGAAAAAAAAATAAAAAGTTACGAATTGTTGAATGTCTTAGGATTTAGAGAAAATATGACATGATTATTATCAAAATAACACGGGGCAAATACTGTAATTAATTTACCAGACCGCTGAAAATTTTAATAAATCTGTTAAAATGGAATTTTGTACATCCTTGCAACACATTTTTCTTCTAAATACTGCATATACTTATTTTAATTTGTAAAAGTTGTCAATAAACATCAAAATATAGAGAACTGATATTAAAATTTCTGTACAGGTGTACCTCGAAAACCAACATTCCGTTGACCACCGATTCGCATAACAAACGATACATATAGGAGAAACACCCAGCAAGTTTTGTTGATGCCATGGAGATCCAACGATTGGGAGAGGAGAGACAGAGCCGTTATGAATTTGGTGAGCGGTGGTGTGCAAATTCTTGCCACCAGAGGGCTCCGCGCACTGCTTTGACTAATTCCCGCCACCTTTGCTCGTTTACACTTACTGTGTGTCTGACTTCGTGTTTTTTCGTTATTTCCGACTTAGTGTGTTACTCAATCATGCCTAAACGCCCCAGTGATAGTTCCTCTTGTGCTGAGCAACTTGATGTGATGTGATGTTATAAGGCATAATGAGGCATAATACAGTATTTTCTCGATTTAATGAACTAATTCGAGTCACCCCTTTACGTTAAATTGAAATTTCTGTTAAATCAAATTTCCATATTTTTTACTCAATTTAGCAAACAAGTTTGCTAAATCGAGCGTGATTCCATTAAATTCCACGCCAAATGCGTCACTTGGTGCGTGGGGTTTGTTTACAACCAATCAGTCTGTGTCCTGCCGCCACCACGTGTGTTGTTCACTGCTACCTCTAGGTCTACATCTCGGTCAACTAACTACTGTACTGTGCTTAGACATCATGCTGAAAGTCTCTCAGAAGTCTCAGAGAGGAAGTGATGTGGGGGAGAATGTCAAAAGAGTGCAGCTATGAATTGAGAAAAAGTTTGGAAATAAAGAGAAAAAAATTAAAATGAACACCAAACCCCATAGTTTAAGGTAAGCCATGAATAATGTTTCTATGTACATATCATGTGTCTGAGGTGTCTCTGTAGGTGTGAGCGTTTTAACTGCATTAATCTCGATTTAGCGAACTAGTTCACTAAATCGAGTGAAAAATAATGTAAAAAATTCCTTCCTTCAAATAGAGAGTATACTGTAAGAGTGGTGATGGACCAGCAAACAGTGGTTGAGACTTGAACTTGTCACCCTAAACCATCTCTACCATCCTCAAAAAAAAGTAAATAAGTATCAATTTATACTTTGCATTACTAATTTAAGACTTATTATGCTTACTTTATGTGTCAGCTTTATTTTTTCTTGCTTGACAGTGTGCAATACTATCATGGTCATAATTGCATGGCTACTAATTTCAACACTTAATTATTCATATTATGCTCCACTGTCCACAAAACCTGTGTGTGAAACTAAGAAATTACTCCAAGGAAGAGACTTGCTTTCCTTAGCGAGAGGGACCATCCGTTTTCTCTTAAAAGTCCTTAAGTCACTTCTGTAATGTAAATTTTAAGTAATGAGATAACCTGTATGAGTAAGCCATAAGTCAGATATACCTACAGTGTGCTAAAGCATTCAAGATGTATTGAGTGTATGTTGTAAGCATCATATATCTTTGTGTGAAGTATAAATAATGTTAAGACTACAGTATATGTTTTGAAGGTCCAGCCAACATCTGGAATCAATTTAGGTTTCGTGTGAAGCTATGAGATGACCGTTCAAAACTGAAGTTGGATTTCCTTTATTTGCAGTCCTCAGAGAATCAGATAGAATATTGAAATTATTGTCAGTTTTTTATTTAAGATTCTCATTAATCTTGCGAGCAAACTTGCTAGAAAACTTTGAAATGTAACTTATACATGTGGACAAAACGGATGTAGTGGTTAGAAGCTCCGCCCAGAATGTATTGCCATTTTAAGCATTTGACATCAAATAATTCTTGCATTGCAAAGCTTGAACACTGATTAGATTATAAAAGTTAATAAATCTTAGAAAATTAATATAAGCTCATTGCCTGATTTTTATAAGCCAATGTGTACAGTAAATGAGACAGATAAATATGTCTGTGAAATTCCCGACTAAGTATCTCAGGATGCATAAAAAGGAAGCGCTGAGTTTGAATCGAAGACATTCCCCTCGTCATCCAGGTATGTTGTTATGTGTCTCACATCATATTCAGTGAATTTGACTTAGTTAAATTGTGTTGAATCTGTCAGTGTTCTTGTTAATGTAATTGAAGTTTTGTGTGTTAACGAAATGCTGTGCATGTGTCATCTGTTTCCCTACACAAGACGTATTTTGATTCCATTTCGTTCACTCTGAATGCATTCTCCTCATCATCCAGTTACTGTGTGGGTTGCTGGAGCTGCCGGGAGGCGGTGGCCAGTAGCCAAGAGGATGTTTGACAAAGGCTGTCTTTAATTCGTCACGAGAAGAATCTTGAGTTGATGGCGCAGACAACAATCGTCGGCCTTCTGGTATAGTCGTGTCCGGGAGGCATGGCTCAAACCCAAGACGAGACAGAATCTAGCTGCAGTGTCACGGAGTGTTCAGTGTACACGCTTGACTTGTTTTGTATACAAAACACATGGCGTTCTTGGCAGTGGTAACATCTTGTATGTACAAGAAAGCCTCCGATAACGACAGTTCTACTAACGACGATTCATATTTAAGACCCTGGTTAATTTAGGACCCAATTCAATTTACACCGTTATTTTCTTCATATTTACGATGAAAATAGAATAAAAAAAAATAAGTAAAATTACATTTTCATATAAGTAATAACAATCCTAATATGTATTATAAAAAACAACACGCCTTGCGTACGGAGGCTGCCGGGCTTGCGAGTGGTGACGCCAGCCAGCTAGCATCACTAGTATATAGTCAGTTGCATCTTGGAGGCCTTTTGTTTTCATGCATCTGTACAGGAAGGAGAAAAACATTCTCAGGTTTCTTACGGCATTTTTGCGTCCCTGTTCATCATGAGCAAAAGAGCAAGTGATGGGAGTGCTGGTTCAAAAGCTAAAAGAAAGTTGATAAGTTTAGCCGAGAGGTCTGTGGATATTATATGGAGCAAGCAATAAACATATTATATAAAGTGGATCCATTAACAGAACAAAGCATTAAAATTAACAGGGATATGGAAAATGCATATGACCTCTACATAAAGTACCCTGCACAATGAGAAAAGAAAGCGGCTGTGAAAGGTTCTTTCGACAGCTTTATTAATCAGAGGCCTAAACCACCAACTTCAGCTACACCATCAAATTCAGCATCATAAACAGCTTCAGCAACAACTTCAGGTTCAGTAACAGTTTCAGCAACAGCTATGACATCTTTATGGAAAGCTTCAGCTGAGTTGAACCTACAGCTTCAGTCAGAGTTGAACCTACAGCTTCAGTCAGTTGAACCTACAGCTTCAGCCAGTTAAACCTACAGCTTCAGCCAGTTAAACCTACAGTTTCAGCCAGAGTTTGAACCTGATTACCTCGTCATTTTAGTAAAAGCTCGCACAATATTCATTGGCTGTTTTAGACTTTACCACCATTGGTGAGTAGAACTTGCATTTTACATTAGTAAGTATTATTTAAAACATATATGAAGAGTAATAAGTGCTGCTTTCATATTCTTATGTAGAGAAATGACGATGTCTACACATGTACGCACTGACATACGATGCGTTCCCAATCCATTTCGTTTTTTCTTTCCCATTAATGGTTAGCTACTTCTATTGTTCCATTTATTAAAATTATATAAAATTACTTAAAACATACATACCGGGTAGTCATTTTTTTAACTTAATTTTACTACAACTACAACCAGGGTCTTATTTTCTTCAGTTTCTTATGTAGAACCATCGTCACAGGTGTAAACACTCATGAAAACAATGCTGTCTCATCTCCTCTTGTTTGTTTTAATATTCTATGTATTATTAATGAATTGCATAGTTCATTTCGCACATATAAACATTAATTCAATCATATACATATTCAGTAGTAAACAACAATGAATCTTTTGTACATATTCTTAATAAGATAAATGACGCGGTTTCCTCGAGGGCGCAAGTATACATTGTCGTTCCACTATCACTCTCTTTTTTTCTTTAACATCAGTGGTTACCTTAACTGTACATTAAATAACATTAATTAAAACTAAATATTTTTTTTACATTAATTTTACTACAGCAACAACCAGGGTCTATTTTCTTCAGTTTCAGATGGATAACTGACATTATGGGTGTAAACACTGACAACAACAATGGCATTCCATCTCCTTTTGTGACCTTATTATTATTGATTTATGTTGTATAAGGTGCATTCACACACATTATTTAAAGAATATAGTTTTCAATTTTCATGAATTGTATTTTTTGGGGGAAAAAAAGGGTAAAAAGTCACACAAAACTTGTGAAAAGGTCACAATACGGAATGCATCTCATTGTTATTGCTTTATTTTAATGGTAATTAATGATTCACGGTACAATGATTCACCTTACACTGCAATATTAGAACACACATTACCGTCGTTATCCAAGGCTTTACTGTATCTATAATTGTTGTCTCAGGAATCTGATTTCCACCTGGTAAATGAATACTGATGTATCCTGTGACTTGAGGAGTGTAACAAGGCATGAAATTGTTAAGATACGAGAGGTAAGGTTGTATGCTTGACTCATGGAGTCACGATAACTGTGGGTGCCCGAGTAATATGTATCCCCCAAGTGTTGAGAGTAGTAAAAATTACTCTTCATGAACAATCTTGTGACGGGTGTTTGAGAAGTGCCATGAAGTGTTAATATAAGTACAGTGTATTAATATACTGTAATTGAAGCATGCACAATCAGTCCTTGTTGTTGTATCACTGACTCATGGAGTCATGATAGCTGTGTGCCAGAGTGTGGAGAGTAATAATAATTACTGTACACAAACAATCTTGTGATAGAGTATTTGAGAAGTCCTAAGAAGCCATATGCGGCTTTTGCGGCATTCGCCCATGGAGTCAAGCATCGCTCGAACTACCTGATGAGCACTATCCCTGATATCGGACCCCTCCTCCACCCTCTGGAAGAAGCTATCAGTGTAAATTTCATTCCCAAATTAGTGAAACACCCTCACTTAACCCCAGCAGAAAGATCACTTCTTGCACTACCACTGAGGCAAGGAGGAATGGGATTGACCAATCCAGAGGAGATTGCTGCCACCGAACATCTAAACTCAGTTAAGCTCAAGGCAGCTCTCACAGATCACATAATAGCTCAGAACGCAACAGGGGAGGTGGATACCAGTGAAGTAAACAAGATTCGAAGGTCCATTATGACAGAACGACAGCACAGCCAAAGTGATAAGTTGCAGCAACTGTTGCTGCAAGTACCAAAGAATTTGAAGAAAAAAAAAGTAGCTATAGCGCAAGAGGTGGGCGCCTCGAACTGGTTAACTACGTTAATAATAAGGGCAAATGGTTTTAGTCTTAATAAACAAGAATTTACAAATGCCAATGCTCTAAGGTACGGTAGGCCAGTAGGAGGTTTGCCCTCCCATGTAATGGCCCCTGTCTCATCAACAGAAGTATTATATAAATGGGTTATTTACATCTGATTTATATTCAGATTCACCCCCTGTAACTTTCCACTGACTATGAGGTGACATGTTCAGTGCACGTGATAAGGTGTGCCCACAGGAAGCTGCGTCATACTATGCTGAGTAAAGGCATAAGTAGCCGGCTCCTGGCCGCCTAAAGCGGGCAGTAGTTTGATATCCTTGACTAGAGGAAGACGTTATTTGAGAGCCGAAGTGGATGGCTCCGTCTTCCCTTGAGGGGGAACGACGTGCCTAATCCGTTCTCTCTCAATGGGTCACTATTCAGAGTCTCACTCACTACTTAATATCGAACAGACGTTGATTCACGTCTACTGTATTTACATAGACGCCGTCGCTTTCTCACCACACTCATAAATAGTGGAACTTACGGTTGATCTACACTCAGGAATTATATACATAATACTTTTTAATAAAACAAGAAACTTTAATTGGGTTTCGTTACTAAAGCCCAATATAATATATGTGAACCAACCTGGTTAACTTTGAGTTAACCAGCCGTTTCACCCAATGCGTGTGTGGCTCTTCCTATGACGTCGATCACGCCATGGTGTGCAAGAAAGGGGGCTTCATATGCATGAGGCACGACGAAGTAAGGGATCTCACAGCAAATATGTTGAAGGAAATCTGCCGTGATGTCAGGGTTGAACAGACCTCCTTCCATTGGACGGTGAGATTTTCCATCATAGGAGTTCAAACACATCTAACGAAGCCCGTGTTGACATCAGTGCTCGAGGATTCTGGACGCGGGGACAGCGAGCCTTCTTCGACATCAGGATTTTTGATCCCATGGCCACATGTCACCGTAACTTAGCTCTCGATGCTGCACACAGGAGGAACAAGAATGACAAGATAAGGGCATATGGGGAGAGAATTCAAAACGTCGATCAAGGCAGCTTCACTCCTCTAGTGTTCACAACTTCTGGTGGGATGGAACCAAGTGCAAGATACTGCTATGCCAGACTCGCGGAGGTGATATCCGAACAGAAGCAGCAGCCCAGAAGTTATGTAACAGCCTGGATGAGATGTCGACTGTCCTTCTTTTTCCTTCGGTCAGCTTTGCTCTGCTTCAGGGGAACGAGAGCTTTGGCCCCAAAGCCGACAACAGTTGCAGATATTGACTATGAGGTTACAGTCACTGAATGCCACATAGATCTGCGGATCAACTAACTCAACACAGCTAGGATAGCTACTTATGTATTAGGATATTTAATATTAAGGTAATAAAATGATGGCGAAGGTTGGCTATTGGAGATGGCTGGAGACCAATAAAAAAAAAAAAAGTAATAATATTGAAGTGCAGACTGTCCGTCCTTGTTGTGTGTCACTGTCATATAATGTTACCAGAAATCTATAGTATTTTTGGCTGAACATTAGTCCTGTTGACGTGAATACTTGTTTGATTAACGTGGAAGTAAGGTCAAGTGGTCTGTGATTGCATCATTGTTAACGAAAATTTGGCCAAGTTTTGAGTAAACCCTAAGGAGTGGTTCATAGGTGTATGTTCTGGTAAAGTGTATGGTATTCAACTTAATTTTAAATAAACTACAGGTATCCTTATTGTATGTTGGGGGTATCATTACCCCTGCAGTATTTGACCTTTATTTCTTCCCCATACCTTGATACCATTAAATACAAATAAACCCACGTGCACTAGTCCTCGCCACATTACTACCATCCAAGTGTCCTGTTAGTATTACCTTGGTTAAGTGATTAATGTTATATTATACAGTATGTTCTGTTAGAAAAACCTAGGTGGTGGCAGCTACTGTGAGTATTGAATATTGTACAACAAGGGGTTTCCCAAGTAAGCTCTAGGTCAGAATATAACTAGATAAGAAACAAGTATATAAGGGAACAGAAACAGAGAATGAAAGAAATACTTTAAGAAGTTGAAGTAGAACAGAAAACATAGAGCCCAGTAGAAAGAGAAGATAGAGAAGAAAAATAGAAGCAAGTACAAAGAAATAAATAAGACAATAAATAATAAGAAATAAAGAAAAAATAACAGAGAAGAAAACTCAGCCTATATAGAATGGGTTACAGCACTGGGATAAATAATAAATAAACCAACTTCCCCTATATAGTACAGTGATATAACAAGGGTAGATGGGAGTTTTTAGAGGGTGGCAGGTCCCTAACACCCTGAATTTATGTTCCTATGGGATTAATTGCTTTGGGAATTGTTGATTCACTAGCCAAAAAATTTTCAAGTCCCTATATGCATCATTTATTGGGGTACACCTGTACTGTATTTGGCACAGCCCATTGCCAGGCAGCTCCTTGTAATACAAGGTGACAATTAGAAACCTCAGAATCCTCCAACCCCTAAATATTTGGCTGAAGGTACAGCAATATATAACCAAATTTGACAGACCATTTATGCCTACTTCTACATCATTCCCATCAGCCCTATACAGTAGTCTTCACGTTAGCCAGAACCTCCAGTCCCCAGAACTCTCCAATAGCGGTGAATGAATTATGAGTCTTCCGGGAAATTCCGGACAAATTCTCTCTCCATTCTGGGTATGGGAATGAGTTTCTGAGTATCAAATTGTGTGCATTTTCTGGAAATATTCAGAGAAAATCTCTATGCTCCAGGCATGGGAACAAATGTGAGCTGGTCCATTTGGAATTTTGCTCGTAAAATCAGTAGAAGTTCATTTATTGAATTCTTTTACCCTAAAACACAATGCTTGTTAATCCTATTTCTCATTCAGTAGGGCCTTCCTGTTAGTCATAACAATGTACAGTATTCTTAAATTGTGCTTCCCATTTTTGGAATTGCAGAGTTCTGAAACCACAGAAAACACCACACTTAACATTAAAAAGCATTGCAATTACAAAGAGTTGTAAAAACACTCACCTCTTCCAGTTTCCTTGAAGCAAGAACTTCATTTAATTCTCTGATTGCTTTGATACGAACAGCTACAGGAGATTCATTGCTAAGCTCAATTTTTAATTCCTCTGTTAGCCGAATATCACGACTGCCAGGAAGATTTCCACGTTCTAATTTGAACCATCTCTTCAGTCTTTCAGGAAAACTCTTTTCTGGCTTGCTATCTTTATTCATTTTGTATCATGTCCCTGAAATTCCAAATATGAGCTGTACAGTACATTATAATATGATATTTGAAAGTTCCTAAACATATTGCCAAAAGCATTGACTGTAGAATATTTAATGGTAAGGATGTGAGGCTGGGACATTACCTTAATACCCCCCTTTTTTTAATGAGACTTTTACTGACATGGTAATTTTAATGAACATAATTAATTCAGTTCAGATAAGGGAAAAATGGAAATACTGTATTGAATCTGAAATCCCATTTCCTAACTGAGCCTAACAGTACTACCATGGGTTTAAAATCCAGGTTATAACCTTTGACACTGGTGGCTGGAACTTACTCACTGATTAGTTTATACCTTTCCATCATATCCAGTATTTGAAAAGAGACCTTTGGATACAATGATTACCGCTGAAAGCTGAAGACTGACTGTGGATGTCAATACTGTATAGCTATTGATCTCCATAAACCAGGCAGTAAATTATATACACAGGCTGTGAAGTTATGAAAACAATGTTAAAATGATCATATGAAGCATGTAGTCTCATATGTTTACAACTGGCCCAGAATCTATGTACCGTAAGGTAGGGTAACTCGGCCCCTCTTGGAAATGTTTTGTTTTAAAGTCCTAAAAATGTTTGGTTAAGTTGTTTTTTCAAATGCCACTTTTAATATCAATAAATTGCCTCCATTTAAAAGAGATGTTATAGAATTGAAAGGATTTTTAATGAATTATTACTTTAAAAAGCAAGTCTAAAAAATTACACATGCCAAGGCGGGAAACACTACGACCCGTTGGTCTTAGCTACTGTACTTACTTATGTAGATTCCAACTTGTTTAGATAAAATCTCAAGGGGCCTTTGGAAGGAAAATGAATCAACCAAATACTGTACAGTACTGTACTGTATAATCTAACAATTAGATATACAGTTAACCCTCACTTTACGCGGTTAATGTAACCCGGAGGGTCCCGCGTAAAGTGAGAAACGCGTAAAGTGAATAACATAACATATGGGATTAATTGAAATGGAGTCCGGGCCGATCCCCAAACTCCACTTTTTGACGACACACAACTATGTTGTAGTAAAAATATTATCTTAACTTTATGATGGTATGCACACACAATTAATAATTAAGAGAAATATCAATAATATTAGGTTTTTTAACACTTACATTAGTAGAAAAAATGGCTGGGCACACGGGGATGGGCGGTTGGTTCCGAGGCAGAGGGCAGATTATTGGCCCTCACCTGTGTCACTTGTATCAATTGTATCACTATCCACCACAGAGGCTTGCAGGGCCTCTTTGTCAAACTCCCCAAAGTCCATATAAGTCCATATCCTCACCATAATTATCACTATCACTGACTTGGGCCGGCTGTGGTGGGTGGCGGGTGAAGAACTGGTAATGTTTTGATGACTGGGATACCTTGTGCGCACCATGTTCGCGCAGCTTACACAACATGGCGGATGGCGGGAGGTTTGGATCCAAAAATGGCGCGGCTCGCCAGCCGCTCTCCGCGTAAAGGGGTACACGCACCGCGGAATGTGAGCATCCTGGGTTCCAGCAGGGCACCGCGTAAACGTGGAATGCGGGACCGCGTAAAGTGAGGGTTAACTGTATTTTGTTTGTGTGATCTGATTTCTTTAGCAATGTCATCCCTGACCTCACTGTACACAGACAAGATCTTCTCATTTCTATATATATCTGAAACCATTTTTAAAGGGTCACATTTACATTTTCCATTTCCCTCAACTGAATCTGCATTCTAGACATAAATATCAGGGGGAAAATAAACAAGATATAGTTTACTGCAAAAATACTATACGTAGTACAGTATGGTACAGGTATCATTGCTATAAGAATGTTTGAGATACGAACATTCGCTTATACGAATTTCCTAAATTAAAACTTCTTTTTCATTTAGTGAAAGCTTCCCCCATTTATACGAATTTTAGCCCAAGCAAAAATTAAAATTTTGTGCCCCCTGGAGTCAGCTGGGGCAGCCACATCCCTTAAGCCTTCCCCTTTATCAGACTGAGGTGTGAGCTGTTATGGTTATTTTTAATTCCGAATTTTGGGTAGATTCTACACTGTATTGCATATACTGTACTGTAATTGTTGTTAAATTCAGACCAGTCACTTTATTACTTAATATTTTCATATGAGATTTCCACTAATTTTTATTTAAAAATAAAGAATGCATATCCAGTGAGGGGGCATGAAATATAAAGCACATTCTAAAAACAGTCATAAAACATACCACACACAGCAAATACACACTGTACTGTACTGTAATGTAATGTTAACTGAACAATTTGGTAACAATTTGGTAGAGTACAACGATGGAACTGTATGGAGATACAGTAGAGCAAAAAAGAATACTGTACTGTACTTACAGTGTTTTCCTCACAAATTTATATAGTATTTTGAGTCAGTATTTGACTTTTCAATTTCACTTAAGAAAATACAATTCTGATTATGCAGGGCTTTGCAGTACTGTAGAGGGAAATTAAAAAATGACCAAACCTAACAAAACTGGCCTAACCTACCCAAACCTAACTTAACCTAATCTTAGGTATTTCATCATTTCACGAAAAACCAAATGTGCTTACCAACATGCTAATGGCAGTATGCACGACACTTTGCACACTTTACATAAGTTTGCAGAACACCTTAGACCTTGAAAATGTGAATTTCAGTGGCATTATTTACAAAAACACATTGAATGGTTTGTAATTTTGAGAAAGAGAATCCTCACACAAAGAAGTCTTCTTGACTGACAAATTCCAACTCAAAAGCTTAAGCATTTGCACGAGTATCAAGTGACACCGACATTTTTGTTATCGTAATTGTACGTTAAGTGAAATTGAACTCAAAATAACCTGAAGAAAAAAAATGACAAAATGCTGTAATGTATTATTATTCTTTTGCTCCATCTCCTTATACAGTATACAAATCAATACTGTATAGAGCTCTGTGATTGTACTAAACTGAATCTTAACCAACAATTTTAAGGGGTAAGGGTATAGTTAGATTCATGGTCTTATCATTTTACCCAATCAACCAAACTTAACAAGGTTTAGCATAATGTATGATATGCAAATTCAGTAAGGGAGTACTGGTGTAGAAATATATATTAGTACAGGTGCTCCTCTACTTACGAACGAGTTACGTTCCTGAGACTTGTTTGTAAGTCCAATTGTTTGTAAGTCCAACTTTACTCTTGTAGATACCAAACATATTGTAAAAAATGAAAAGATTATGGATATTTAGTACAACTTTACCCTTTAATACTTCCTTAAAACCTGGCTCACTCTTCTCCTCTTAGGTAATGTTTGTTCTATCTGGAATTTTCTTCAAAATAATCCAGTCTCATCCACATTAAACACCTGTTCTGGCAGGTAACTACCCTCGGTGATGTTTGTATCTCTGAAAGTTTGTAAGTTGAATGTTCTTAAGTAGAGGAGCACCTGTACAGTACAAAATTTTCCATATGAAGTGCCAGTTTTGTCCATTAAAATCAAGATTAAGGATTTACAGGCATAAATCATCGAAGGCAGCTCATGACATGAACCAACCAAACCTAACACAAAGATCTTAGATTCTTAATTATATAAAATAGACTATAGAAGGTTACATTTGGTTGGTTTGTCATCTAAAAGGTTTACATATTCAGCCCCCTCACCGTAAGCTTTGTTGATTGATACCACACTGGCACTACAGGTAAAGAATTCCAATTAATTTACTCTCTCATTCTATCATTTTCACTATTTGCCAGCTACTAACCACTCACATTGTTATCTGTTACAACTTACATTGTGCTGTATTTACATATGTATTATATGCACTCCTATAGCTACCAGATTTACCTTCTTTACGTTAAAACATTTAATAACGGGGGGGGGGATCCAGGAATATCAAATGTGGGTCTCACTCAAACAGCCAATGGTCATTCAGCTGGAAATGCCAGTCAAATACAGTAGCCACTTCATATTTTTTATTGGGTTATGGTGAATTAATGGTAAGCACCAAAAAGATTTTATGGAATTCCACCAAATTTTCAGATGTTGTTTGGATGATTCTGAGTAAGAAAATGGAAACGATAATGTGCCGAACCTACCAGAACCTACCTAACCTCACCTATCTTCCTAACATGTGCATTGTTGTTTTGATTTTCTTACTCACTATCATCCATACAAAATCTCTAGTAAAATGAACAAATCCAATCCAATATAATTATAATACAGTGGTCCCTCGGTTAACGAGCACAATTTGTTCCAGAAAGTTGCTCGTTAACCGAAAAATTTGTTAACCGAAACCATTGTTTCAATGGGTTTTTGGGTAATTGGTTCCAGCTCACCAAAAATTACATACAAACTAAAAATATATGCAGTAAAGTACACTTACTTTGAGGTGTGCATGTAGAAGGCTCCTTGTTGATGAATGATGATGATGGGAATTAGAATGGGGGTGGAGGAGAAGGGAGAAGAGAAGGCATTGGGGTGGAAGAGAAGTCACCCCATGCTGCCATTTCACCCATAAAATTTTAGTTCACTTGGTGTAATTCAAGATTATTTTCTTTAAATCAACACTGCACTGTGCTATATATAATCAATATGTAAAATATATTTCAAAATGACCAATAATTTGACTGGAAACAGAAAAAAAGCGTTTATGTTGAAGAGTCTCAAACAAGATGTTCCTTCCTCTGAACCGGTAAACAAACTGATGCCAAGCTTGGTGTGTTGAGTGGCTGTTTGGCGCGCAAAAACTAGTTTCCTGAACTTCAATTATGTTCAATAATTGTTAAAATGAATAAAAAATTTAATATAAAACTTTTAAAATTATTGAATAATACAACCTTCTTGATATTTACAAAAATGGTAAAGAATTTAAGCCCTAAAACCGATTACTGTACTGGCGGACTAATACTACAGCTGGTGAGCAGGCAAATGCAGGTGAAAACACGTTGGGAAAAATTCATAAGGAATTCGTGAACCGAAATTTTTTCGTTAACCGAAGTGAAGAATCTTATGGAAGGTAGTTCGTTAACCGAGGGATCACTGTACACACATCAGATGAGATAGTTATTCATTACTTGACATGTAAACAAAGACTGTGGACGCTCCTGTACAGCAGACGATGTAAGCCAAAATATGGTCGCCACATGAGATCCTACAGCGCCATAATTACAGTAAATATTTAATTTCTTTGCATTGCAGACGTGAAATTACTGCCATATGATCAGTGTTTTGGGTTAATATTAACAACTAACCCACAGACACATTATTTGTTTTGATGTTTATTTTTTTTCTATATTCTCTTCAGCGAGTTCTGATATGATAATCATTTCTTGTGCAAACGCTTCATTTGGTTGATAATTAGGCACCTAGGCACACACTACTTCGTCTTCTCGGCGGTAACGTGGTGGTGACGTCTCAACCCAGGAAATAAAAAACCAATCGTATTGACGTATTTCAAAATACTCCACTGCCAGGGACCGGATTGATGCTGATGCCCAGAGTATGTCTTTGAACCGCTGGGCAGCTGTTCTCACATTCACAAAAATTTTTAAATTACACGGAGGAATCCAGGGGGCGAAGCTCCATGGCTAGGAAGTTAGGTAAGGTTAGGTAGGCTTGTTTGGTTAGGTTGGTGAGGTCCTCTAACAATGCTACTGATGCTTGTTTTCTTATCAGCTAAGGTTAGGTTAGGTTTAACTTAAAAATAACCACTTTCTAATACATTTCCACAAACTAAGACATTGTCCACTAAAAAACACAGTGAAATTATGGCATTTTAAAAATCTTTCCTTGGAAAAATCATGTTTTTACTCAGTTATTATTTCCCTCTTTTCATGCCCTACCCACGAACAAGTAATTTATGATTGAAGGATAGGCTGAAACGGGCTAATGAGGAGGACTTTACAGCCACTTCCCACGTCTCAGTAACAGCAAGTTCACCCATGGCAAGTGTTAAGTAATGCTAGGTTAAGTTAGGTTAGGTTAGATTAGTTTAGTTTAAGGTTAGGTTAGGTTAACTTGAACTTTTAAATTAACACTTTTTAACACATATGCCACAACTACGATAGGGTCCACTATAAAACAGCAAAATTGCAGCATTTTAAAATTCGTAAATAATTAGCCTAAAAATAAATAAATAAATAAATATATATATATATATATATATATATATATATATATATATATATATATATATATATATATATATATAATATATATATATATATATATATATATATATATATATATATATATATATATATATATATATATATATATATATATATATATATATATATATATATATATATATATATATATATATATATAGCCTATATATATATATATATATATGCAAGTAAATCACTGTAGGTGTTCACCAGGGTGAGTACACTAGTCTGTACTCACCCATAAAGGAACTTCACTTTCCTTGTTATATATATATATATATATATATATATATATATATATATATATATATATATATATATATATATATATATATATATATATATATATATATATATATATATATATATATATTCTGTAAATATATATCGATAAAATCACACAAGAAAAAGGGAAACAATGGAATGCCTTAGCTTGAATAAAGACGAAAGCTAAGGTACTCCATTGTTTCCCTTTTTCCTGTGTGATTTTATCGATATATATATATATATTTATATATATATATATACCATAATGTTGTTAGTCTTTTCATTGTAGTGCACCGTTATATCTAGCCTAACCTAATCAGGGGGCTTTGCCCCCCTGGACCCCCTAATTAGTTTAGGTTTGGTAGGTTTTTGGTGATTTTCTGGGTTTTTTTTTACACATATTTCTTATGCCTAAAGAAAGAATGGTGCAATACTATAAATTGACCATGTTGTCATTTTGATTTTATTACTTGGTATCATCCAACATCCCCTGAAAATTTGGTGCAATTCCATAAAGTCCTTCTGGTGCTAACCATCTCCACCATTGCCTTCTATTGCATTATAGGTTTGGTTAGTTCATTAAGTCCTCCTCAAGAATCAATCTCAATTTAATTTTTGCTCCCACACAGAATTTATGGTGCTACCATAGTATGCAGCACATTGGTTGAAAATCGCTGCTCTAAGCATTATAAAAACATCACATAATCCACATAATAAAAGAGAAGAACTGATTAACCTTTGTCATGAATGATTCTGTTAATGTCTTCTTAACTAGCCTAGGATGAAAATATGACACACTGATCATTTATTGACTTATAGTTCTGATGTTTGTCTCATTCAGTATAAATCATTGGAGAGAAAAATGTGATCTTCAATAACGTACTACGTAATCAACAATTTTAATGCAACATATAAACTTGTATCGTTTACTCATCGCCATGAGTTATTCTTTTATATAAAAGTGCAATAAATGTGTGTATACGTGTGTAAGGCGAACTAAATTAATTTACCAACACATGGAGAATGTTGAGGAAGAGTATGGTGTCGAGGCTTAATGCCCACAGTAACACCCGAGACCAATGTTTACATGTTGTGACGGGAGCAAACTTTTCATATTTTTCACTTTTCAGGCCATAACATAACATAAATTAGATATCAAATTAATAAATATATTATTGGGCTAAATATGTTCATGCACAAACAAAAAAATGTTAATTAATAAAGTAAATATCGAACAAAACGGGAATTACTTTTCAGAAATCACACAATCCCACCCACAGTCCTGGGAGGCCAAGAGCAGTCTTATGCTCACTGAGTGGAGGTGAGTCACGGAGCTACTATATTGTATACCTTGAGTATTTGAAGGAAGATTATTGTTTGAAATATAACATAAACAAGATAGTTAAGCTATTCATTAATTTTCTACGCTAGCGACCTGAACCTTATCTATCTACTACACATCGCTTAAAAATTAAACAGTACTGTCCTGTTCGTGGTATGTTTTCAACAAAGAATATTAGATATATCTTGATTTTTAACCTCAACTATTTTGGGTTCTTTCGCAAGTCCGGAAGAGGAAAATATATTTTATATAATTTTCGCCACATATCAGCTTCCCAGCCGTTTGGGCTCTATATCCAGTGATAGTATAGGAGGAAACCGGGGACCGGGAAACCTGTGATGTTTGGTAGGATCCAGAGTTGTAAAGTAAATAAATAAATTTACTTGAGTACTGTACTCGAGTCACAGTTTTGGGTACAGTATTTACTTTTTAAAAAGTACTTTTACTTTAATATGATTTTCCAATATAATTACTCCAATACAATTGAAAAAATCGTTATTTGTTACATGCAAACTAATAAAATATTTTAATAAATTAATTAAGTAATTATTAACTAAAGTAAAAGAGTTGTGGGAGGAGCCGTGAAAGTACCTTTCACGGTGTGGGTCACTGGGCGTGGGGAGACGTTAGGTCAGGTGGCAGTGGCCCTGACAGCGGACTTTCCCTTCGATCATCTTGTATTCATTAGCACCTTGTTAGTGTATTTAAAATTTGTTTTAAATAATTAAATATCACTGCCCCCCAGCACCCACCAGATGTTGTGTGGTGCGGAAAATTCAGCCAGGTAGTAGGCAGCTAACAAACAGGGAGGTACTGCTCTCCCTACAACTCCTCTCCCGTCTTCGCCCAGCTAATCAGCGGCGCCGCTCACCTCACACCCCTGAACCTGCTGATCCGGAAGAATCGTATAAATACCCTCAGCCTCGCCGTGAAAAAAAAAGACTACCCTCCCAACCACACAGGACCTGGGAGGGCCCACTAACCGCATCGCAGTAAAAAAAAAGTATAATAAGCAGCACTATATAAATAAACCAATACTAATACAAAGGTCAGACGACCCAAGGGAGCAAAACAAAGATAAAAAAACAAAAACAATAGGAAAGATGAAGCGATCTGGTTGAGCCCAGATTCTTCCTACTACTGTATTTGTTTCACTTCAATCCTCAATAATCTTCTTTCACCTCATAACTCAAGACCCCAAAGCCAAAGGACATTCTACTCAACCTTCTCAAGCGGACAGGACCTCCTCTCAACAAGCTCCTCACCACACAGCAATTCCCTAGCACTGCATTGTACATACAATACATGGAGAGTTAAGCTATTCTGAGTTTCCTTTCTCATCTCCATTCTGAGTGCGAGATCTCCCTTATTGTACGTGTGTATGTGGCCATAACAAAGAGAACTTAGATAACTGAGCCACAGCTACACTACGCTACAAATGGTGACCCACGGAGTGATGCACTCACACAGGATGGATGAGAAACGGCTCACTCCTCCAGTCTTCAATCACAACATTGAAGACTGGCTAATCCACATGGAGGCAACTCTCATCGGCTCAAAAGCTACAGACAACAGAAATACGTCGCCCTGGTCTATTCCCTGCCCATAGAAGTCAACACACAAGTCTCAGAAGTCATCACTAAGCCCCAGATGACAACAAATTCGCAGCTTTACGAGACGCTCACAAGAGGCGATACCAGCGGCCTGACACAAGTCTCCTGCAAGATTTATCAGGTCTCCCTCGGCAACTCAATTCCTACACGTCTCTGGGAAGAGATGCGGAGACTGAACTCTCGCCACACAGACAGGCTTCCTGACACTATCCTGCGCCAACTTCACACGCAGAAGCTCCCTGTAGAAGTTCGTCTCGCCCTCTCGGCATTGGATTACTATACAACCTCGGCGACCTATGCAGCCACGGCAGACAGAGGATTCCACGAATAGACTGCTGTGCACCATGCTGCCGCGAACAACTCAGTGGCCACACCATCACTTAGCTCCGGTCTCGTCAACCAGATCAATGCTCCTCAGAGAAGTAGCATACCACCAGACAAACAGGACATGAGGGACCAGCTACAATCTCGACACCACAGGATGGACACCCTCGAGCAGCTCTACTCCTCCAAGCCCTGCTGATCCTGCCCACGCCCCACGCACTGTGTCCTACCGAACCCGACATCCCAGTCTTGCCTCAGATGCCGCCGCCAACCCCAAGCACAGTGTACCTACCTTCTGCTGGTACCATCAACGTTTCGGTGCTAAGGCTAGACGCTATGAGGGTCCCTGCAACTACACGAGGAAACGACGTCAACGGGGGTTGGTAAACGCCACAACCTCTGTCACTTCAGGCGTCTCACCGCTGCCTGTCACCGACCACATCCAGCCACCCACTTATACGGGCTTCCCAGCGCCACTTCACACAAAGTGTCGTATCGCCCGGCATCAAAGCTGACACTCGGAAATGGGTTGCCCAGTGCCTGGCCTACCAGGTAGTGCACCTCGACATCATGGGACCTCTTCCATCTTCCTGCGGGAACACCTACATTTTCACCTGCATTGACCGTTACACCAAGTGGATGGAAGCTACTCCCATGCCTGATGCTACAGCAGAGTCAGCTGTCTACGCTTTCCTGTCTGGTTGGGTCTCCCGTTTCGGTCCTCACATGACTATCATCACTGACCAAGGATTCCAGTTCGAGTCACAACTCTGGCATAATCTCCTGCAGTTCCACGGCACTACCAGGCACCGCACTACAACTTATCATCCTCAGTCCAACAGCATGGAAGAGCGGTTTCATTGTCAGCTGAAGGACACCATCAGGGCACAGCACGACCCCTACAGCTGGATGGATGCTCTACCCTTAGTGCTCCTTGGCATCCGCGCATCACACAAAGAGGACATGGACTACAGCCCAGCAGATCTCACCCTAGGTGAACCCCTTCGCCTGCCCGAGGACTTCTCACCTACTCCTGAACTCAACCACTTCACTCCTGCTGTCCGTCACGACCTACTGAAAACACTACGACAGTCTTCCCATCACCCTGAACACATTCATCCCGCACCTCCTTCGCCAGTCTGCCCACCGTTACCGTTTGCAGCACCACCTCGCCCACAACATTTTTGGGTATCCTCTTTCCATCCTCAGGTACCTACTGCTCCTGATATGGACCCTGCTCCTGACATGGACCCTGCTCCTGATGAGGATCCTGCACCTGGCCCTGTGGACCCAAACATCCCACCCAGCGCCCCCGAGGACTTTGCAGCTGCTACGAGAGAAGCACCACATTGCTCGCCTGTTCCTCCCGCCACCCAACCTTCCCATATCTACAACCCTCCTTCTCCAGATGCTTTTCCTCGTGCTTCTCCCACAGATTATGTGCCATTCGACGGAGTTGTCACTCGTAGCGGCCGAGTGGTTCACGCCCCTGCCTGCTATGCCTCGCACGTGGGATACAACCCTGCCTACAACAAGTCTCCTGTCACGCCCGGAGGGGAGGGGGAGTATTGTCGTGTTGTTGTGTTGTTGAGATTGTCGGACCGTAGTCCGACACGGGCCTGTGCCTGTAGGCGGCCCGTTTGGTGGTTCTGGCTGGTGCTCTTGGAGCAGCCAGACCGGATTGGGATTGGGGATGAAGGTTGTCCTACCTGCAGATATGAAAGGATACTGCAGGTTTGCAAGTATGAGCGGATCCTCGGTCAGTGAACGCTTACCACTCCGTGGTCAGTTTCGGAGTGGCGCTCCCCCCAAACTGGGGCCCGCACTTGCTGGGGGAGGATACTTCCTCAGTTATGTGGGTGGTGGGTATCGTGTGATGACCCGGAGAAGGTGGTGAATGTGGTTTGTTTGGGCCTTTCGGGTTAGAGTAGCCGCTGGTGTTGTGTGTTCTTCTTGGAAGTTTCGAATTGTTTCGGAGACTTTGTGTGACTTCGCAGTCGAGGTGATAGTGTTCCAGTAGGTTGGCCGCTGGCTCCTGACAGTAGGTGCATTCCCTGACGACATTTCCGCTCGTCTGCCAGGAGCACTTGTACCCTAGTCGTAGTCGATGAAGGCTAACTTGGGTTTGTCTTTGTGTTTTCTTGTCCGCGAATGGTGATTCCCCCTTTTGTAGGCACCGGGTACCATTTGGCTGATTGGGAACTGTATGTATATTATGTATGGGAAATATATACATTGATATATATTAATTGTATTATGCAATATGTACTTATATATCTGCATTTCATGTACGAATTCCATTTATATATATTACTTATTTAGCCTAGCCAGCAGCGTGTGGTAATGCCTTTATTATGTTCCACACGCTTAGTTAATGTGCCTGGCGACATCTGGAAGCTGCTGCATGTATCGCTTGCCACATGTCGCCTGGGGGTTCAGTTGGCACACAGTAAGAGTAGGGAAGTGCCGTATTTGCTTGTACCTCTGCACGTCCAGCAATAAGAACCTACAAAGAACTCTACAGGTGTTTTTGTTCGCCCCTGTAGATAGAACTTAGTACTTAGAACATGTACAGGAACCAGCGTTGAATGAGTCAAGGAAGCGCTTTTGGATGTGGAGCTTGGTAGTCTTTCTGAGGTGGTTCTTGATCTGTTGCACGCTTGCTGGAACTTGGATGTGTATGCTTCTAGAACGTGTGACTGCCTTGGCTGCTTCGTCTGCCATGTCATTTCCCCCGATCCCTACATGACTCGGAATCCAGTGTAAGACGACTGGGTGATTTTGTCTTTGGAAGTCCTGTAGCTGTGCGAGGATCGAGGTTATGATGTGGACGTTGTCTCTTGGTTGACTGTTTTGCAGCGCCTGCATGGCCGTTTTCGAGTCCGTGTGAATTATGTTGGACTTGTTGTGTTGTGATGCAGCGTGTTGTAGGGCCTTTGAGATTGCTACCAACTCTGTTTGTAGGGTGGAGCAGTCATTAGAAAGTCTCCATCGGAGGGTCTGATCTTGGGTGTAGAAGGCCGCTCCGGATGTATGATGTTTTGGGTCCACCGAGCCGTCTGTGAAGTATGATGCTGCATCAGCCGGTGTCTCGGTGGCTATGGCTTCCAGAGTTATTCTTTTGAGGTCCTCCTTCTGGAGGTTGGCTTTGCTATCATCTAGTTCGGTGATTTTGAATGTGGCTGGTGGAGGGCTCCATGGTGATGGAACTACATAATCCCTGTCTCGTGTGTCTTGGTTCCTCTTGACGAGTGTTTCTGCTTGCTGGTGCCTGATTACCTTGCTTGCCTTGTGGAACCAGGTGGCCCCTCGCACTCTGTGGTCGAGGTGGAGGGAGGCACTGATTCGCGTTTTGGCAACTGTGGGCTTATCTGATCTACAGATTTTGGCGAGGGGACAGGCTGTCACCTGCTTGACTAGTACTGCCAGGGGTGGTAGTTCAGTTTCCATTTGCAAATTGCAAATTCTGGTCCACTGGATGCTCCAAGCATGGTCCTGAGAGCATTATTTTGGATAACTTCTAGCTTAGCTATCTGGTCCTCTCTCAGTCCAATGAGCGCTGGAGCACTGTAATCTACCAGCGATCTGATGGCGGCTGTGTAGTAGGCTTTGAGCACATGTATGTTCGCTCTTGCGGTTGTGCTGGTGAGCGACCTCATTATGTTGTGTCTGCTCTTCGTCCTGTGCCTGAGATACTCGAGTTGCGGCTTGAAAGTGAGTTTCTGATCTAACAAGATTCCAAGACACTGGTGGGTATGTTACCAGCCTCGAGGGGGAGGCCAGTGAGACCAAGGTAGGTATCTACCTACCTTGACTGAGACAGTGGTGTACTGTTCATCGCCTCACACCCCAAAACTACATTTTGAGTAATATCCCCTAGGCCATGGGTTAGTTAAGACGTCGACCCCACCCTCTCTCTCCTGAAGGGAACGGGACACCACACAGAGTCCTCCACCGTCGCCCCGTCCTGTGGACCGTCAGTGACACGAGACTAAGTGTGCATACTAACCTAGGATGTTATCCCCGTATATGAGGTGTGGATGCCTGGTTGCAACAAGAGCAATCCAGGCTGGCCTATCAAACCTACAGTAAATGGTTAATCAAGTCACGCTTACAGAGTTCTCCTGCGTGACACCCGTCTACAGTGACCGTGATCGCCACAAGATTAAGTGTGTTAACCTAGGCTTGTATTCCCCGTGGAAAAATCACGTGAGGAAGCCTGGTGGCGACAAAAGCAATCCAGGCTGGCCTACTGAACCTAAGTGGTTAATCAAGTCACGCTTACCAGTTCTCCTTGCCTTGACAACCGTCTACTGGAATTGTCAGTGACGCGAGACTATGTGTGGTAACCCAATAGTACCTTTTGTTGTTACTCCCCGTGGAAAAAAGTTCTTGTGCGGAAGCCTGGTTGCAACAAGAGCAATCCAGGCTTTGTTAAGTCATACCCATAGTAGAGTAATCACATGTGTCCCCAAGTTGAAAATTCCCTCTTTTAGAAGATTAATTTTATTACAGCGTAACGTGAGTGACTCATATATCCATGCAAATTGTAAATCATTGTATGGAAGCTTGACAAATAAATGTAAGTGCAATTATCTGCCAGTATCTGTGATCCTATCTTATTATTACTAAAGATAATGACTGATTGGTTATGACAAAGTATAATCAATAACTTATATGGATGTTGGAAATTAATGGAACTCATTAAATCATCATTTATCAAGTATAAATCATGGAATGTCGGGTGGTGGAGTGAATTTCTAGGTAGATACACCATAATCTCCTGTAAGTAACCAGTGTGAAGGTATCGAACTCTACGGTAAGAAATATTAGAAACACAATATATTATAATCTTTATATAATATAATCCACACCTTAGACAATTAATATAAAAATCCATGACAATAATAAACACAAAGAAACATAAAGAAATGAAAAAAAAGATCAAGAGTGAGAAACAATATTTGTATGTTGTGTTGTCAATGGTAAGAGAAACACTTGAGACCCTGCAATTGTGTGTAAATGAGGCAGAAAGTCAGATCAGCAACCTGGGACTTGGTCACAAATTTTTGGGCGCCATATGGCAGCAGGGTCTACCATTAGACAACACATTATACTTCCAATATCTTCCCAGGCGGTAGTACCTCCCTGTTTGTTAGGTTAGGTTAGGTTAGGTTAGGTTAGGTTAGGTTAGGTAAGCATTAGGATGCTTAATCCTCAGTTGAAATAAATGAGATTACTAATCTTCGAGATGCGAAATTTGTAACTACATTATCATTTTTCCAAGCAAAACATAAATCGTACGCTTGAAATGTGTAATTGAAGTCGGCAAACGTTTATGATAAATGAGAACCAGGAGTTATGCTTCTTCTAATCGGGTTACTTAGGATCAGTTCTGTAATATTCCATCTTTGCACATTTAAGATAATTCACAGTGAGTAATTTAGGATACCTCAAATCAAAATAATTTCATAGACTTATTCAGTTTCCTCAGCCATAAATTCGGAAGTACATTATAAGTACAGTAGTTTTCTTTGTACATGGATGAGAAGACTGTTTGACTCAGCTGAGTAGTAATGTATATCAAAGCACATATGTGTTGGGTTTCTAAAGAGGTTTGCCTTAGTGTCGTGCCATTCCTATGTTGACAGAAATTTAAATGAATAGTTTCTCATTAAAATGATTTTCTCCAACAATTTGAACAATAACAGTTGTCCAAGTAAATTAGACCCATTTATCATTAAACCATGGCAGTAACGTTGGTATATGATCAGGCATAGTAACTTTTTCTTACTTGGATTTTCTTCACCTGCACCTGTCAGGTGAGGAAAGTTCTTACAGCAAGTTAGCGTATTCTCTAGTGCAGCGGTTCCCAAAGTAGGGTTCATGAAAGGTTATTAAGGGGAATGTGAAAAAATTAATTTATGAAGAAAAAGTACAACCAAGCAAACATAACAATAAATAGTAATAGCGCCTTTTTTGTAGTACAATGCATCAGGGATTCCTAACTTAGGGTACATTATCCTAAGTTGGGTATTTTTGGACTTTTCCATTCGGTAATGAGTGACAGACAAATATTATTGTATTCATGTAAATATAATGCATAACATGATTATTGATAATAATACAAATGAAACACATGGCGCGTACCATGTAAGCAGGTGTACTGTACTTACTCTGTCATGTTCAGTGAACTGGTTAGTTGATACAACAGGTAGGTGCAACACCCAGCAACAAATTAAAGGAGTGCATGTGGTATCTATCTATCTATCTATCTATCTATCTATCTATAATAATAAAAGGACGTGTCTGTCTGTGTTTTCAGTTCCAGCCATAGCTCCAAAACGGAAGCAGTTAGAGACCTGAAGCTTTACACACATATTACATGTGTCCCAAAGTTGTGCACCCTAGTATTACTATATACCACGGGCCCCCAGGTGGTCCGAGAAAAACCCCCAAACCTTCCCCGACTGAGACATCACCGCGGTGATTTGGGAGGTGGTTACCCG